CTCGTGCGAAACTACAACAATGGATACATCCGGCCCGCCGAGCCGAAACGGGCCCGAACTAGAAGAGTTCATACGAACGGGTACGCCCCGACGTAGCCGAAGCCTTGCGACAACTGCAAGATGCTCCCCCTTTCGGAAAAGTGAGGGCACCACGGCTACACGGGTAGCCGTCACCCTTCAAGGGGTCAACGACCTCCGCGGGTACTCGGTTGACGCCCTCCTCGACAGTGGCGCCACCTCCGAGTTCATGCACAAACGGTTCGCGGAGGACTCGCAACTGGAACTCGAAGCCCTGCCGCACCCAGTCCCAGTGTACAACGCTGACGGGACGATCAACGCCGACGGGCGATCACCCACGTTACCCGCCACGAGTCACCATTCAGGATCACTCCGAACTTCTGACATTCGCCATCACGGATACCGGGAACAGCGACGTGATCATCGGGCATCACTGGCTCAAGAAGCACAACCCCGTGATCGATTGGCGCGAAGGGGCGATCGCCTTCACCCGATGCCCGCCCGAGTGCAAGCGGGCCCGATTGCTGGAACAATGGGACGAAGAGGACAACGAACCCCTGGGCAAAGGGGATCGCCTCTTCGTCACGCGGATTTACGACGAAGGTCCGAACGCGCCCGCCCACATCCGGGCCATGCAGAGCGTGGCCACCAAACTGGCCGCCGCCGCCCACGCTGCCGAGAAGCCCCGAACCACCGAGGAGAGCGCACCCGCGCACTACCTCGAGGAATTCAAAGAGGTTTTCGAAAAACAGGACTTCGACAAACTCCCGGAACGGAGGAAGTGGGACCATGCCATTGAACTACACCCAGACGCCGAACCCGTCAAAGGGCGCTGCATTCCCCTATCAGGAGAGGAACAGAAAGAGCTTGACGCATTCATCAAGGAACATTTGGCAACCGGGCGGATTCGGCCCTCGAAATCCCTAGACGCTCCCCGTTCTTCTTCGTCAAGAAGAAGGACGGGAAATTACGGCCCGTACAGGACTACCGGAAGTTGAACGAGATCACCATCAAAAACCGATACCCGATACCGCTCATATCGGACATCATGCATAAGTTACGTAACGCCCGGTGGTTCACCAAGCTCGACGACGTTGGGGATACAACAACATCCGCATAAAAGAAGGCGACGAGGAGAAAGCCGCGTTCATTACCAATCGGGGCCTATTCGAACCACTTGTGATGTTTTTCGGCCTCACCAACTCCCCGGCCACGTTCCAATCCATGATGAACGAATTGTTTTCCAACCTGATTTCCCAGGGTCGCGTGATCGTGTACCTGGACGACATCCTCATATACTCTAGCGACCTCTCCGAACATCGCGCAACGGTGAAAGAGGTCCTACAGATCCTGAAGGACAATCAATTGTACCTGAAACCGGACAAGTGCGACTTCGAGCGGAACGGGTTGAATACCTTGGTGTGATCGCCGGGAATGGGCAACTTCGCATGGACCCGATCAAGGTCGCTGGCGTGCGCGAATGGCCCCGGCCTCGTAACCTGCGAGAGGTTCAAAGCTTCCTGGGGTTCCTCAACTTCTACCGACGATTCATCAAAGACTTCGGTGCGTACGCCAAGCCACTGACCCGGCTGACCCGAAAAGACAGCCCATGGAAATGGGGACCGGAAGAAGAGGAGGCCTTTCAGACCTTGATAGACCGGGTCACGGATGAACCCGTACTACACTTCCCTACGGATCACGGGGCATGGCGGGTCGAAGCGGACTCTTCCGATTTCGCCACCGGGGCCGTCCTTTCGCAAGAGCAGGAGGGGAAGTGGGTCCCGATCGCATTTCTCTCCCGAGCTATGAACGACACCGAGCGCAACTACGACATCCATGACAAAGAAATGCTCGCTATCATGCGGGCCCTTACCGAGTGGCGACATTATCTTCAGAACGGGGGAGATAAGCCGTTCGAAATCTGGACCGACCACAAAAATCTGGAATACTTCATGACGGCTAAGAAACTGAACCGGCGGCAGGCACGATGGTCTCTCGAACTGAGTGAGTATCACTTCTCTTTGTTACATAAACCGGGGAAAACGAACGGGCGGGCCGACGCGTTATCCCGACGAAACGGGTACGACAACGGAAAGGAAGATAATCAGGACATCGTCCTACTTCCTGCGGGGCTATTCAAGGAACACGCGATCCGCGCTATGCTGACACTAGAGCATACGGAGGGCGACGGGCTGATGGACTCGATCCGGCGGGCCGAATCGGCCACTGAGGAAAAGGTCCTCAAGCTCTGGGAAGACGGAGAACCGGAAGGCTGGGAACAGCACGACAGCTTCAAGACTCGGAACGGGCTGGTATACGTACCCCCGGCTATGGGACTGCGGCATCGAGTGCTACGGCAACACCATGACATCCCTATCGTGGGACACCCGGGGTGGCATCGAACCCTCGAGCTGACGACCCGCAACTACTGGTGGCCGTCCATTCAAGCCGATTGCCAGGCATACGTACGAGCCTGCCCGTTGTGCCAACGAACGAAGATATTCCCGAGACGCCCCGTAGGAACCTTGGTCCCGAATAGCGTGCCGACTCGAGTTTGGCAGCGCATATCAATCGATCTGATCGTTCAACTACCCGAATCCTCCGGGTACAACGCCATTCTCGTAATCGTAGATCGACTGGGTAAAGGGATACGCGTACTCCCATGCACGGGAAACATCTCCGGGGAAGGAGTCGCTCGACTATACCGCGATCACGTCTGGAAAGATTACGGATTCCCAGAGGAGGTAACTAGCGACCGGGGCCAGCAGTTCATCGGGCATTTCATGAGCGACTTGAGCAAATTGCTGGGAATCAAGATTCGATCTTCATCGGCATATCACCCACAGACGGACGGGCAAACAGAGCGTGCGAATATGGAGGTCGAGCAATACCTTCGAACATTCTGCAACTTCCAGCAGAGCGATTGGTCAGACTGGCTTTCCCTAGCAGAGTTGCGTTTAATGACAAGGTTAACTCTTCAACGGGATTCTCGCCCTTCTTCCTCACGTTGGGATTCCACCCGAGAAAGGGGTCCGAGGCCCCGCAAGAGGTCCCGACCGAGGCCGCTACGGTGTTTGCCGAACGAATGAAGGAAGCCCGGGCCGATGCGGCCGAAGCTATGAAAGAGGCCCAGGAAACGATGAAGAGATACTACGACCGAAAGCACTCTCCGGACCCGAATTACGCCGAAGGGGATAAAGTTTACCTCCAGGGGACGAATTTGACCAGCGATCGACCCTCAAAAAAACTGGATGACAAGAGGTTCGGGCCATTCAAGTTAAGCGCAAAGTGGGTAAAACATCCTATGAACTGGTGCTACCCCCAACTTGGCGCGTAAGCCCCGTATTCCACACGGCGCTATTACGACCCTGGAACCCCCCGTAGCGGATCATCAACGGGCCGCCCCACCACCCCCGGCAGAAATGCGGGACGGCGAGCCTCACTACGAAGTCGAGGCCATCTCGCCAGACGCAAGCAAGGACGACACCGCCTAAGATACCTAATTCAGTGGAAAGGCTACCCTCGGGAAGAGTGGACGTGGGAATTGCGGGACAAACTGGAGGGCGCAGAAGAGGCACTCGAGGACTTCTATACTCTCAACCCGTTCGCGCCCCGCGAAGAACTCGTAAACGGCCGATGGAAAATCCGAAAGCAAGACCAGGGGACGCGGACCCATAGGGCGTCGAGGCGCCGCCCACAACGGAGGGGGTGATGTCACGGTTCGGGTCGGGCCGTCCGGGCCGTAAGGCGCCGCACGGGCCCGAACGGGCCGCACGGGCCCGAACGGGCCCGCACGGGCCCGTATACCGCCGTCCCCCTGGACGCCCCCTCATTCTTCCAACCCCTTCCGTTCACCCCTACGACCCTGCGCAGCGCCCATCCGATCCGCCCTGGGGCCTAGCGCCCATCCGATCCATCCCTAATACCGTAGCGTATAAAAGTCGTACTTACAAGATGTAGTCGCTAGGCTAATATCGTCTATTCTCCGGGCGAATACCCATCTCTCGTGCTCCTCAGACCTCTCCGAAGTCGGACCCCCCGACGCCCCGATACGGCCCGAGCCCGACGCTGACACTATACATAGTAGCATCAGCTGCACATCCATCCCAACCTCCTGTAAAGAATAGAAAACGCATATCAAAGGAGACAGCAGCCAGACAGTTCTGAGATACTCCTCCTTTCGGTTCCGGGTGGAATGGATTTCTTCGGCAGAAGGAGTGCATGCAATGTGTGTACCATCGATTGCACCAAGAACATCCTGGAAGAATGGCCACCACTTTGGATTATTACGAATGGCTTCAGGTGGTGGCTCATTGACAGAGGGCAGTCGGACATAGTTTGTATAGAACTCGTGGCCCGAAACAATTTCAAGTATTTTGCGAAAATGTCTATAAATCATTTCAAACAAGAATTGCAGATATGATTGTATACATACTCAGATATAGTGGTGTGAGAGTGTTGGAACCTCTCTGCTTCATGGTCTATCCCCAACCCAGTCACACAGGTATACAAAAAGATAGCCACTGATTCATCAAGCATAATCTTTGAATGCTCAGATTCTAGATGTCCCATTGACCGGATTTTGACAACAAGTGCAAGAAATACATGGCGGCGCATTCCTAGTGCAATATAGATGCGATCAGGATGCCCAGCTAAGAGTTCATCTAGCCATGCACGGCCAGACAGGGCAGATGTGTGCAACTCCGTTTTGCAATATTGAGGATGAATATATAGGGCCACACCAAGAACGATGTACTGGATAAGGGCTGAGGTCATCAAGACAACCCATCGAACCCTGTCTGCTCTTGTGTGAGGGGCCTGCGGCATTTACACGCTTGCAAATCCGTTGAGGAATGGGGCTGATCGCGGAAGTCACGCCAAGTAACACTGAGTAACGCTGACAGACGGCATCATTTCTATTCTATTTCTATTCTATTTCATGTTGCCGGAGAGGCTCTAAGTACAGTCACATTGCTGTTTCTTTCACAGTCTTCATACCCATGGATAACATCGTCACACGCGTTCCTCGGGAATTGGAGAGAGAGATACTGGAACTTGCTGCTGAAATGCATTCCACATCGATAATCAGCCTGCTGTTGGTAGCGAAACGAACGTTTGTATGGTGCGTAGTACTTGTTCATAAAACTCAGGAATTCTGTAACCGAGTCTGTCTCCTTAGGCTTGAACCATATATCTTCCGAAAAGTACACCTCTCCGGTGACTCAACTGGCAACGCTGCTCAAGAAGCCTTCCTGCATGCAGCCGTGTCAAAGCCACCACCATTCCTTGCCAATGGTGTCCGCCGCATCGTCCTCAGCCTAGACGCAGCCGATCCACATATGATCAAACGTTTGATCTAAGCACTAAAGCTCTGCACTGGCATCACAGGCTTCACAATGAATCGACATGAGACATCAGCACAAGTGGCAGAGGAAATATTTGCAGCCATTCCTTCTACCGCAACCCTATTTCGTGCAGGCCTCTTTCTGCGTGAAATCTATCCCCAGCTAGACGCTAACAACGCGTCTGACCCTCGATTTCGAAACCTTACACATTTGGAGGTTTTCGAGTTGGACTTCAACCTCCAGCCGCTGATCACGCCTTTCCTCCTGGCCCTTCCTGCATTGACCCATTTGTCGATGATTAAAGAACTCCCCGTAGATGTCATTAAAACGCTCCTCGGCGGCTGTAAGCATCTCGATGTGCTCGTCTTCCTCTTGTTCCGCTCCAGAATAAAGCCAGGACCGAAGCTTGCATGGGTTGATGAAATTCCCGTCCGGGATCCTCGAATAGTCATCGGAATCTTGCATCGGTGGTACGAGTGCCTTGGGTACATCGGAGACACATATTGGGCAGAAGTTGATGAGTTTCTAGCCAACAAGCGGGCGGGTTTAATTGCCGGTGTGTTGTTGGTGGATTGAAATGTCATGTCACGCGATTCAACGGCCCTTACAGATGACTGCCTTTGTCTAGTGGACCCTAATCTTTTCTCTACGGCGGAAAGCGAAGACTCTGAATGGGACTCAGACTCGGACCCTTCAAGGGTCCGAGTCTGATTGATGTCAGATGTCACATCATTTGCCAAATGCGGTGCAAACGCTCGCCGTCTTCCTTCCTTTTCCCCCCACCTCCCCCACAGCAAGACTCACACTGCACCTCCCCCGACCCTCAAATCCACGCCTTCGGGCACTCAATCCTCTACGAACACCTATCAAAGCTTCAAACCTCATCAAATTCCCGCATCCACTGCAAATTGCGCAAACACAAGGCTGCACTCTTCCAAACTCGTCAACTCAATGACTGCGGGCTACGTTATATGCAAGGTTGACTCAAGACGGACCCAGCAATCATCTGACAATGGAGCCGCCCGGCCGCGGCGTCTCCGTGTGTGGTCGTGCAAAAGTGACTCCGAGTGTGGGCTTGGTGGCAGGCGGGGATGCGTGAAGTCTGTGTGCGCGTTCAAGTCTGGTGAGTTGCAGCTTACATTGGAAATCATGAAAGCTAACACGTGTTGCAGCCGTCAAGACTGCTGCGCCGACTGACCCTGCCGCTGCTGCGATGCGACGGTAACGGTCGCGTCTGGTGCTCCCCCCCCTGTCGACCCCAACACTGCTTGCCGCCAGTGCCATTGCTGGCGTGGGTGCTACTCTCCCCCTCGCGGCCATCCACAACGCGCGCTGCTATCAACAACCGTGGATCCCTGGAGCAAATGTGTCGAGGTGAAGGCCGGAGGGCATGCGGGCATTCTCAGAGCGGGGCATGTACCTTATTCACCGTGAATATCACAACTTGATGGCATATTGGACTGCACATGAGCTGTATTTTACTTAACAAAACCATCTTTTGAGCCCACAACATATTCTGGGATTAGAAGGCGACTATGCTTCCAGAATACCTTCTGGGCCCAAAATGCATTCTGGCCGGCTGGACGACCTGGAATGCCTGGCCCCAGGTCATTCCAGTTTGCCCAGAAGTTTGCAATTAAGTTAGCATGCTTCACTGCCTCATTCAAGTTTCTGATTTTTTACATCGCGGAGAGGTTGGCTGTGAATGGATGTCGACATCAACTACAGCCTGAGACCCTTGCACCTTCCCAACAGGGTGCTCCGGCTCGAGCCACTCAAGCCCGCTGTAGAGCAAGATGTCCGAGTCGTTTGGCATATCGTTGTTGTCTGCGAGGATTAGTCGCACAATGTCAAACTAGATAGAGAATGGTGTGCATCTTCGCGTAATATCACCGTTCTGATATTCTCGGTGGCCAGTTCTCGAGAATAATGATGATAATAAGACCATACGGACCCATGTGTGGGTACCGGGCGACTCTGACAACAGACGAGGGTGAGCGCTACCCTCAAATGAGTCTCGACATCTCTCCTCGGCCTCTTGTCAGAGCCATGAGACACATACAAGCTTGAGACAGATCAGTCCCGACATACTAGTAGTCAACCAGTCCCAGCCCAGCCATTCTCTACTCCAAACTTTCACCGGTCGACTTATACCACCTCCCTGGATTGGCTCCTGCGGGAGTCGACATTATGACGCGCGCGGAGAGGCCACGTGTAGCATAGTATGTCTATCGTGGGCCGCTCTTGTACTTTTCACGAATGATCTAGGTGGTGGAACGAACTCGTATCGACCCGACATACGTGAAACTTAAAGCAGGAGGCTATCCGAGAGAGGCCTAGATCATCTTGAAAGTTTCCAATAGACCATCATCCCTCCCATGACCGATAATTGAAGTCGAGACTGATCATGAAAGCTTGTTGATCGGTCTCTTAATCCGACGCTGTTCTTTCCTTTCAATGAAATCCAGTAGCATTCCGTGAAATCTCCTGTAACCGGGCCCATTCGAGTAAAACCAGGGAAAAGTAACAATCGTTTTGCTCGTCTGTCATGACTTGCTCGGTCATCTCTCGTCCACGCTCTTGGATCAGCCGAGCTTCAGCCTCGTTTTCCTTCGCCCACGCGAGTTTCTCCAGCAGGTCCGAGAGATCAGAGGCGACAGGGATGTAGTGCTCATATGGGCGGAGCCACCCGTTGAAGTACTCCTCAAAAAGTGTCATCTTGAGCGAGCGTTAGCGCCGTTTTCGGACACTGAGCTGAGAGACCGACCTTGAAGACCAAGCTCCCTGATTTCAATAGGCCCAAGAATCGCCCCGAAAACGTCGTCCCATCAACGTCCAGCAGGTACTTGTACCCATAGACGGCTTCCTTGGACGTCCTCATCTCGTCGATGCCATACTCTGCAACGATCGCCGACCTATCGCATACTTCAGGGGCGCACAGCTCGTTCGCAAACGACGTTATCTTCGCGTCGATCTCGTCAGGATGGGCGCGCGACAGGTCGGCGACCTTGAAGCGGGTGAAGTTGTGGTAGTTGGAATGCACAATCTGGCCGCCACTCGCGATTCCGCGCCAGTAAAGTTGAGACTTCTTGTCCTCCCAGGCGATGTTGTTGGGATAGGCAAACTTGCGATACCACCAGGAGCGCATGTAGTAGTACTACCGAGGCATTAGTATCGAGTATGAGGATTGTAACGTGTATCAACCTGGATAGGAAAGAGAATATCCGCGAAACAAGGGCTAATCTTGGCCATAGACAGAACAGGGTAAAGATCCTCGGTGAAGTCGCTTTTCGCACTCGATATCAGGACTAATTTGGAGGTCAGTCAAATAGACCACGAAGAAACAGGACCTCACATGCGCTGTCGCCACTGGCGACCTCGGGAAACCCCGCAGGGCTTCGCATAATCGTACAACCAGGCTGCTTCGCGAAGTATTGCCATGATTCAGGTTTTGGCACAATGTCGAATGCGGCCTTCTCGGTGAGTTTCAAAGCGCGTTCACGGATGGCCCGCCCAGTTTGGCGCACGTCGAAGACCACCCGCGGCTGGTCTCGGCCATTTATAATGACAGTGAGGTCAGGGAGGATGTGCGCGAACTCGGGATCGGTCAGTCCATAGATGCAACGCAAGTGAAGAAGCGACAAACTTTGCCCAAGGTGATTGGCAAATCCCCCGCATAGGCAGTCTGCGCGCCTGGCGTTCGTGTCACCGTCCCATCCTTAATCTCGTATCGGGCCATCTCCTTGTCGTGATCTCTGATCTGGTCAACCATGAGCACCAGGGCGTAATCCATGGGCAGAACACACCGCCTTCGAGGCCGCATCAATCATCCTCTGAAAGAAAACTGGATCCTCCTTCGCAAGCTGATAGAATGGCTTGAAGTCCCGGTGTATCTGATCGTATTCGTCAATGAGGCAATCATGCTCCTTGGCGAATTGGAACCAGAGGTCGTAGTTTCGCGGCGGGGTACGTCCCGTTTTAAGAGTATAACGGGCAGCTGCCTGTGCCAACGTTGCCGATTGGCGAGCACGCAAGACAGCGACGGAGTCGCGTGCGGCGGGGAGGAAGAAGTCGGGAGTTTCGAGCTCGGCCACATTGGAGGGTTTCGTGGTCTGCTTTCTTGGAATATGCTTCGACGGAACGAGGAGAGCAAGGAGGAGACCCAATGCAACAAGGATGAGCGCCAGCGCTAGCCTTATGAATAACCTCGACTGTGAAAATTCCAGCGCTCGTCGTTTATTTGGTTGGCGGTCACCCGGTCGAAGTAAAAGCGCCTCTGACTCCCACTCGGCCCCAGAGTCCTCGTGCATATTGGGGAGTTGTACATGTGTGACAGGTTGCCTTGGATAGAGTTGTCGAAAGAAGGACATAGTGGAATGAAGTCGATGGGCAGTGAAGATGGGTGGAAAATAAGAGAGGACATGGTGATCTCAGACCGCATTAAACCAGCCGCCGGGACGCTCACACCATAGTGCCAATCATGCCTTGATCATGCCCGCCGGATTTGAGTTCAGCTCGTCAAGATGATTTGTCTTTACACCGGGCGGGGCCAAGTACGTTAAGTACTTGGTTGGCCGGAGTCCATGGCTGCGATCAGCCGCTCGTCCTGGGACGCCAGCTGCATTCCCGAGCCCCAAGTCACGTTCGGGGACCAATACAGGAACTATTAGGGTCCAAAAAGCAGAGTTGTTCGTGAGTTGTTCGGGGGCATTGGATGCAACGAAATAAGAAACCCGTTCCGACCCAACTTCTTGACTGCTGCGGATGATGGTCTGTTCCGACTTGAGGCTGGCCCCCGGGATTATTGGTAGCACCGTTGCGTTGGAGTCGTCGGCAAGCAAGGTGCGCAGTTCAGCTGCTGCGGAGCCAATGGTGGAGAAACCGGTTAGACATGCATTATGATGGCTGGTCCATGGGAGGCTTTCCTCAATGAGCTGAGGAGGAATTGAAAGCAATGGTCCAGGGCGAAATGGCATGTGGCACTGTGACTCGGACTAGTGCAACCGCATTCATGTTGAGGTGGTTGAATAAAGATCAAGTGTGGCACGTGCGCCATCAATTTGTCAACCTTCTCCTCGTCGCTCGAGCTCCTCCTCCTCCGAGTGTGAGTTTGAACCTCGAGACCTCAGGCTGTGCCGCGGCATCAACATCACACATAAACTGGGGGCCATGACTAGCGGTCTAAACAGCCTCAATTAGAATTGGAGGGGTTATTCGGCTTGGGTTGACTGTCGGCCAATTATCCAGTATCATCCAACCCTCCATTCACGGGGAAGAGCAATGCCGCTCGTTATCATATGCATCCAGCAAAAACGACGCTAGAGTGGCTGACTTCCTCTCTTAGATTTATCTTGTCAGAAGTTGCAGTCCGTTGCAGTCTGGCATCGCCACCGACGTTTGCCTGGGCGGACACTCGCCGGCTTCTCCTTCTCTCCCCACGGTTGGCAATGAATGGTCGTAATCGTGCTTGCTATTAATATACACCACTCTGGTTTTCTTTCTTTTATGCTTTTGCCATGGTACCGTCTCGGATTCCCTATCGAGGTATCTGGTTATATAGGTATCGATCCTTGTGACTACTTATCGCCTCTGCACTAAATGCTCACATAGTTACTCCAGACTGGACTGTAGGTGGGACTGTCCTGGACCATAATTTGGTGCGACGCGGCTACTCAAAGATATTAATATTGCGCCAAAAGGGTCCGACTCGGATGTCGTCGTTCGGTCCGGCAGGCGGATATGTGGCAAATACTTTTTAGCGTACCTTAAAGTCTACTTCGCCGCCGACCCTGACTCCCGGGTTCTGCCGTTGCACACCCAATGGCCGTCGAGAGTCCACATTGTCCACATCGCAATCCCCATCGATAATCGATAAAACGATCAAGACAACATGGGAACAGACCAGTGGACCCACTCACTGACCGTCTTGTCTTCGACTCTTTGCTGCTATTCTCGGAGGCGAAAGGTCCCACGGCCGTGGGGATGATCGAAACCTTATTCTGTGGCTCCGGTCAAAAATGACTCTCTACGCCGGCGGGAGCCGTCCTATATCAACCAGGTCGCCTACAGGTTGCTTTTATCTCCGTGCCCCACAATGTTCGACAAACTCAAAGCGAAAGCCTCGTCGCTCCGCTTGCGTATTCCTCAGGCTTCCGCCAACTTGAAGGCTGCTTCCGCATCTAGTGCTTCCTTGGCCGGTCCAGCGGCACGCAACTCGTTTGGCGACACCGACTACTATCGACAAACTAAAGAGGAGATCCACTCCCCAGTGTCGTGGGTGACGCTGTATGGATCTAATGTGAGCACGAGCTCATATTTGCCCGGTTTATCGCCTAGATTAATATGTCATCAGTGCGATTCTCCATCAGAGCCTTTGCTCGACGACACAGACACTAATGCACCCATCGCGATTCAAGAGAACGTATCCGCCATCCATTTGGTTCGTCTTACAGTTTTCTGCCATTTCAAGTAATCTTATAATCCTCTAGCATCGAGCACAGACCTTCGAAGACCAAGTCAACGACATCACCTCTAGATCTCACAACCCTCTACTCGACCATGTTAACTCAACTGATTTTGCGCATACCTTCCAAGACAGCATCGTCACGGTGGATGATGACGGCGACGACGACGATCTCAAATTCCACAATCCGCTCGCTCTCAAACGACAACTCATGCTCAACGACGACCTGCGGGCGCCAAAGTGGGTCAAACCCACCTCGGCCATTGTTCAGGCTGTCACACGCGGCTTCCAAGATAGCTTGGTAGACGGCCCGGGATCCCAGCTTGAAGATGGTCCAACACGTCATCTTATACTCGGCGACGAGCCTGAACCGCGGGCGGCCAACGACCGCAGGAACCCAACTACGGCCACCGGTGTTGCGGAATCATACAAGAGGAACAGACGGCTGTCGGCCTGGGTTGGTGTTTCCTTTTTATTGCCGCCCCCCACATTTATTCAATGATCGGCTCTGTAGACTACTTTGGACACGATTCTGAGTAAAGCCTCGCGGCGGAGAGCTCCCAATCTTGCCCATGACAACGGCCCAAATGGAGCCGACCAGTTTGCTTCGGAAACGAGGGCAAAGGAGTCCTCGCCAAAACGCCAATCCAAGGGCAGGAGGGTGAAGGGACTGCCAGCTACAGGAAATCTCAGGTCCAAATCGATGCCTTCCTTCTTCTAAACCCTAACTTCAACAACACCAATTGCTTACTTACCACAATAACTTTTCCATTTCCACTAACATCTGTAGCGTCAACTTATCGTCTAAAAGTATATCACTGTATCTCAAGTTGTTTGTACATACTAGTAGTACTACCACTGCTTCAGCGGCTGAAATTCTGGCTGCTTATTAGCTTTGTCGATGTTGGATTGCCGCCGTTATCATTTGACCTCTCAACTTCTCGATCCTGCAGCGGGGACATCGGACAAATGGGGGAGTCAAATGTAATCCAATGCCGCCATTTTGATCAGTTCACAAAAAACATCCTGATCCTTGAAATGTTCCATGCTCGAGCAGCGAGTTGCAGAATAGTCCAAACAAGTGATAAGCAATGTGGTATGTCACGAAGGAAAAAACCTGGCTACTTGACTGTACCCGATCTTCGGTTGACAGCTGGCAGCTGCCGTCCGAAAACGGCCGGGTTCCTTGATTAATTCAGACGGTGACCATGCACTCGAATGACTTTCGGCTCTGGTCTCCGTTCTACCAGGATATCGCAGGCAACGACACTCCCCAGAACGACCAGCGAATTGAGGGGGCTTAGTGTGGAGGTTGGCCCGCTGCAGAAGGAAGGTCTAAGGAAGGTGCGTCATTCACTTTCCACGATTGGCTGGGAATCTCATGGCTGGGAAGGGCGGCGACAGGCTACTCCCTCGCTATCTATTCAAGAACAACCCCCCCGCTTTTCCTCCCTCCCTCTGACACTTCCGACATTTCTATGGGCCAGCCAGCGTCGAAAGAAGCCCGCACCGAGCGGGCACGGTCAGAGGCTATTGACCGCACTATTCACGAGGACTCGAAGCGCTTCAAGAAGGAATGCAAGATTCTCCTCCTGGGATCCGGAGAGTCTGGCAAGTCCACCATCGTCAAACAGGTTGCTTTCTCTCTCTTTTCACGGCTCCTTTGGCTGACAAGGTCAAAGATGAAGATAATTCACCAGAAGGGCTACGATGCTCAGGAACGGGACGTCTATCGGCCAACAATATACAAGAACGTGTTGGACAGTGCGGCCACGCTGGCAAGGGTTGTCAGACGAGTGGGTGTAGAGCGAATAGCGATGGAGGGTGATGAAGTCAGACGTCTCGTGGGGGAGCTGCTCAGCGCGTTCCCGACAGTGACCCCGCTTGATGGCTCTGGCTTGCCAATGGGAGGTGATGGCGAGACAGACATCGACATCTCCACCACAAGTGGGAGTTTGACGGAAACATTAGGCACTCTCGACGACAGCGGTGTCGAGATCGGGCTCGACCCTGTGCCATTTACGCGAGACGGGAGATATCTTGCTGGAATGCCGCTTGGCCGGATACCCACCACGGAATCCCCCTTTGCCGCCGAAGTCCTTGCCCAAACGCATGCAGTGTTGACGCCGGCACTTGCTGATGCGATTTGGCACATTTCGCGATTGCCTGTCGTCGAAAAGATGGTGGACGATAACCCGGGCGACTTTTATCTTATGGACAGCGCCGGATAGTGAGTGTTTTTCTTTCTTCAAAACCTTTGGCCAGGGCTGACGCGACTGCGAAGCTTCTTCAATTCTATTCATCGAATAGCCGCTCCCACATATGTGCCAAATGAAGAAGACATTCTTCGTGCCCGAGCGAAGACCACAGCAATCACGGAGACGCGATTTTTTATGGGTGATTTATCGTCAGTTGCGAATTCTGCTGTTTGCCTGCGCTCACACTTTCTTCAAGGATTCATATGTTCGACGTCGGTGGCCAACGATCTGAGCGCAAGAAGTGGATTCATTGCTTCGAGAGTGTCACCAGTATCATCTTCTGTACCGCTCTCAGTGAGTATGGCCAGGTTTTGGAGGAAGAGAGGCGAGTGGTAGGTGTCCTGTCTGTCTTTCCGGGTCTATCGCTGATGCTGTTACCAGAACCGCATGCGCGAGTCCCTCTACCTGTTCGAGTCTATAATCAACTCGCGCTGGTTTCTGCGCACCAGCGTCATCTTGTTCCTCAACAAGATCGATGTCTTCAAGCGCAAGCTGCCCAAGGTTTGCATACTCGTCAATCTAGCTCTGACTGTCCCCTTTTAACACAAGCATCAGATTCCGCTTGGGCGCTACTTCCCTGAATACGCAGGCGGGAACGACCTGAAGAAGGCGGCGAAGTACATCCTGTGGAAGTTCATGCAGGAGAACCGCGCCAAGTTGACGGTGTACCCCCAGTGCGTCTTTACTGTGTCTGTCTCCATCAACAACACTGATAGGCCGCATCCAGCGTCACCCAGGCGACGAACACGAAGAACATCCGCCTCGTCTTCGCTGCTGTCAAAGAGACGATACTGCAGAATGCGTTGAAGGATTCTGGGATATTGTAGCCCACTAGCCGACTCAGTCTTGCGATGTTGCGATTCAATGGTGGTTCAAGATTGTCCCACATGACGCCGTTTGTTGGAGTGGCAACTTCAAGGTCATGGACACTTGAAGCCGAAGCTGTGACTGGTAAAGTCATTAGCACGCCACTTTCATGGCGCTGTCCCTTCCCGGCAGGACATTGGCCGGATGGGGGGGCTATCCGAACAGGCGATCCACATAGGCGTCTGTCAAGAACGCGGACGATTTATCCTTACCTATCCTTTCTGTTTTGGCTCACTTTAAGCCTCTAGTTGTATATTCTGTTAGATTTGTTGTATTACTACGTCCATTACTAATCTATCGTATCATCTTTGGGTCGAAGAGCTATAGCCATTCTGGCTCCAACGCACCAGTTGCTTGAAAAGGACGAGACCAGCCAAGTACAGCCAAGGGTTAGATTAGTGTAATCCTAACACATCTAAATTATAAGTGATAAGTCTGTATCCAAATAAAAAGATGAAGAGTAGCCTAATATTGACTTGGATTGCTGTCATGACAGATCTCACTGCTTGCTATTAGTATCTTAGCATATTATGAGGGAAGATACAACATACTATGATATGAATTGGTATTTTGGCCAATATATCAAAAATATATTCTGTGTATCATATTTAAGCTGTGCATCAAGAGTGTAAATGATTTGTGCAATTGTCTAGAGATAGTAAAAACTCCAAGAAGTTAAGTACAAATTATAACAATTCCAAAACAATATCATATAACCCCAGAGCATATCATCAGACTACAAGAAGTTTACTTGTGGAAAGATATGCTTGTTCTAAACTGGCTTTGCTACTGGTATAACCTAGTCCAATACGGATAATAGCAATAGTTGGGACAATTGACTATATATCATTAGTCAGTTTGTAAATGATATTATCAAATGACAGACCACAACATGTGATGCAATTCCTTGAAAGGTAAAGAAAACTATGTTTGCACCACCATTAATAGAGCCAGCAGCAATAACAGAAATTGACAGAATGATGTATAATGCACCGGACTCAAGACTTAAATATATAAGTGATAATAACATTATAGTTGTAATACTACTTACATGACTATAAGCACACTCTGATAATAGCTCTGTAGAGCATAGATGCCTAGAGCATGAGCCTTGTACCTCATGATTGAAATGTGATAACCTAATAAGATAAAATATTAGAATTATATAGTAAACTGCTCTGTAAGTATACCACAAAGTGCAGTAAGCATAATGTTTGTGCATAAACCAAGTACAAATGGTACCCGTTTATCTAACACATTGCCTATTATTGAAGCATTCAGGGATACTATAATTCCTGTCACTAACCACACTCTTATCAAATTTGGATAATGCATAGAACTGAGATCTACCTGCAGTTGCCAAAAGGAATAGTGTTGGAAGAATGATAAACTTTTTATCTTTCCCAAATAGATGATAGCATCGATAAATCTATATGTTGCTATAGGTAAATGTCATAACATATATGTGCACTCTTACAAAAATTCCATCTGCAGTGGTGCTAGAATAGTTATCTGATCAACAAGGAACATCTGTGTTTAAACTTCTCACATACACATTAATTGTGAAAACAAGCCACACAGTGATGGCCACATGACTATATTCTGCTGCAGGGTAGATATCCCAGGGTGAATTAGCACAGTAGACAGGTATTGTGGCTAGACTTTGTTGTATTGATTGGAAGGACAGTTTCAAATCAACAAAGTCTAGACATAGTTGTATTGTGCCCAATATCATCATGAAGTATGAGCAGATAATAAAGAATCTGTTGCCTAGAGCCTTGCGGTAGTGTAAGGTGAATATTGCAAATGCTAAAAGAGCTGTTGATAGCACTATAGTACATATGCATCATTAGGTTTCTTTTTTCAGAGTACTTATTAAGTACCATAAAAAGCCACTTCACCCTGGTATAATAATCATAATCAGATATTTCTTTCATTGACCTTTTGAACTCACCAGTTTCTTGGCAATAAGAAATGGAACCCATTTCCAGCAGGAGTCAAAGGCAGCAGTAGTAGTCATGAAGGAGAAAGGTTCTCTTAGGTTCATCCAACAAGCATGATAACTGCTTTTAAGCTATCCAGAATCCATTCAATCCAACAGCCTTATGATTGATGGTAGCTGTAGTTGGGTTACCATAACAATCATATCGACATCTTTGACGCGAGCCATTGCCATGGACACGAGCATTTCAGAAACAAGAATATGATTGGTTTGTAGATTTCAACAAGCTGATCTTCGGAGCTATCAAGGAAGGGCTATGTAATGCATTTAATCCTGCACTGAATCTCAAGACCCATACTTTTGTATCTACAAAATGACATCCTTCTACCCAGCAAAAAAGTTTTTCATAAAAGAATTGTTATGTTTTTACATCAACTTTTACTTGGAAAACTGTTCAAGTACTTCAACGGCCATGTGGTCCAGACAACCATCATTTACTCAATAGCTACCTTGAAGTTTCTTCACCTGTACCTCTCCTTGTGAACTTCTTCTGGATCTTCTCCACATGCCGCCATACAAGTGCTCAGCCTATTCATCATGCCGCGGAGCTTGCGCTGAGGAAGCGCCGAATGAGCGTGGGCGATAAAAACCACTTGGACTCTCTTACCTGTACCTGATCTTTTTTTGACGCGGGCGGGTCCTCGAAGGCAAATGGCACAAATGCCGACTGGCGCAGGCTGAGCGGGTCGTCGTTTCCATATGGCGTCATCTTGAATACCGTGCGTCGAACGGGCTGGACTATCGGCACCGATGTTGGTTCAGCTGCTGTGGGCTGAAAACTGACTTTCGAGTGCGAATGTCCGTTCGTGGACACCTTGCCGTTGACTTCCCCCGCTGGTTGAAGGTCTCCCGAGCTGTGGCTCCGGTCACCCACCCGCAGGAGCTCTGCACGTGGACTCCGGCTGCGACTCCGGCTCCTGCTCCTGCTTCGATCAGGAGTTGCAGTCCCGGAGACACTGAGGCTCAGATTGCTGATGTTCATAAAATCTCTGTCCGAGTTGGTCCGTCGCGAAACCGACCCGGGAGACTTCACAGTTGGTGCCGCCGGGCTAGCGTCGATTTCATGGTGCGCGATGTCGTCGTAGTCGCGGGTATCTCGCGATCCTGCCCAGGACTGCGCGGCCAGGTGCTGTTGGTACGGGTGCGAAATCGGCCCGCGGAGGGGCATGAACAGCGGCTGGGCGCCGTTCTGGTTTGCAGCTCTCCCACTAGCATTGGGCTTCGTCTCGGAAGGGGAGTCGGGAGACGAAGGCGGTGAATATGTGTATTTTCCGGTGTCGTAGGCATAGGCGTAGGCGTATTTCGTGTGTTTCGCTCGACCAGAAGACCATCCCGATGAGGAGTCAAGCGATCGTCGTCCATGTTGGACGTAGGTTTCGGAAGAGGAAACTGTTGCTGGGGATTTAGGACTCTGATTATGTCAGAATATACCATTGAGTAGATCTGCGACTCACAGAGACAAATGTGGATGTCTGACTGTACGGATGGCTCCCGTTGCTCGTTCTAGCAGCATTCCTCGATCGCACGGAGTATTTCCGCGCCGGCTCCCTTGCATCCTCGGAGTCGGCTAGCGCTGCGCTCCCAGTGGGTACAATGGATGTCGGTTCTCGATAGCGGTCCTACAACTCATCAGCTCAAGGCCATTTGCGAATCAGCCATGCCAGCCCGCACCTCGTTGGCATATATGTAGCTTGCGCTGCTGCTGTACGGATGGTACATCGTCGGTCGTGGCAGGAGGGGACAACTCGTGCGTGTGGCCTTCAAGCTTGTCGTCTGAATCTGTCAAACGGCGGCTGTGGCTTTTGCTTGCCATCGACTTCGATCTTGTTGTATCTACTTCTTGATTGAGATGCCCCCGGGGAGTGGCCGTGGCCGCATCTCTGCAGTCGTGCAGACTAATCATAGATTCGGGGAGGCAACCCGGGCTTGAGCGCTTCCTACCATCAAGATGAGCTGCAATGACAGTCGTCGACATGCAAGTGCATAGCAGAGCCCCAGTTTCCGAGTGGGCAGCAGTGAGGATTCTGCTCCTGTAGTTCTGAGGTGGAAGGATCAATGATCATGAACGAGGACATGCAAGTGCATAGCAGAGCCCCAGTTTCCGAGTGGGCAGCAGTGAGGATTCTGCTCCTGTAGTTCTGAGGTGGAAGGATATTAGTCACGAAGCTGACGTAATTTTTGTCCTAGCATATACATAGTTTTTCTACCTATCACCTGTAAGTAGATACACAGAAGGTACAAAATGTGGTACAGTAGATAGAGTGCTAATGCTACATACAGATACATTGGTAAGATTTGTCTTGGCTTCAAAAGGTTAGATCAAGGATATTGTCTGGAATAGTAGGTGCAGGGACATCCTCTTCCTCCCCTTCAATCAAGTCCAACCGCGTCATCTCCGTCCACCTCTGTGCCTGCGCCTCCTTGTCGTCCATATCAGCGGTCCACGGCGGTGCAGCTCGCTTCCCCTTGCCTTCGGCGCCAGAAGCCGCATTCGCGCTCAGGTCGCGTACCCAAGCGTTAGCGGGACCCCGCCCGATTCTCACGCGCGCGAGGTTAGGATTATATCGCGACCAGACGCAAACAGCCTCGCGAAGCGGCTCTGCCTTCGATATTTCCGCCGCCGTCGCATAGCCCCGGCCACCCTCCTTTTTGCCCTCATCGCTCCCGTCCTCCGACACGTTATCCTCGCTTTCGTTGTCAGAAAGTGGCGGGGGTACCGCAGGTTGCATAAAGTTACCGGGGGGCTGCGCTAAGGCTTGCATCTGCATGGAGAACAAGAAATTGGTTTGAAAGTGGTGGTGGTGGTGGTGACCAGGAAGGAGGTGGTGATGGGTAGTATTGGGATTGGGAAGTACCGGCAGCAGGCGAGGCGAGTTTGCTATATTGATAGCTTCGAGATGAATGAGCCGCAAAATCTCTAGCTGGGGAAGAAGCGGAAGATGATGGATGCCTAGGTTAAAGATGAAGCCCTGCAGCACAACTCAGGACAGCAAAAACACTGAGATTGAATAAACACACCTCATCGGGCTTGCCGTCATAGTATGCGACTTCCAAGGCGCGCAACGAATGTGGAAGACACCTGGTTGCTGCCAACAACGCCTCTTCGTCCCAATGGGCAATCCGAAACGCAAGCGATTTCAGGTCGACGCCATGGTCTCGGATGAGCTCCAAGGCGGCCAAAACATCGACATTTTTCAAGATGGTCGAGTTAATGTTGAGATGCTGCACAGTAGATGGGGCCCCACGCATAGCGTAGATCGCACTCGGCCATGGAGCCGAAACGATTGTTAAGTGGGGGAGGGAGACGACGGGTTGGGTAGCAAGAGACGGTATGGTGCTCCCCTGGGTCGAGGAGGACGTCCCGCTTATGGATGCGGAGCTGAAAGTGATCACAAGCTCTTTAAGGTTCGGCATCCGTTGCACTAGCAAGTCAATACGGCTTTGAATGTCACTGACTGTGCCCGGCACGATAATGGTTAAAGAGTTGAGTTTCTGGGCGATGTTGGGGGGGAGTTGTGAGCCCAGGTTATCAGTGACGAAGGAGCGCAGGTAGGGGAGACGTTGTGTGAATGGCAAAACGCTGTCGATGACATGGGGAAAAAAGGCATGCTGCAGCTCCCGCGATTTCAATTTTGATACGACGAGACGTTTGACTCGAATGACACTTGAAGGCCGTGGTGCACCACTGGGGGAGAAGGAAAAGTAATGCGATATGCGCACGGGTGGAGTTGGAACCGAGCAGCCTTCCAAAGTCAAAACCGCGACGTTAGGCAGATCCTCCAAAGTGGAGTACAGGGCCTCTGGGACCTGTCCACCGCATAGCTTCAGGTGGTGAAGCCGTTGGAAACGACCGATCTGCGTGAATATGCGGTCAAAGGCAGCTATGGAGATAATGAATTCTCGTAAGCACCGGAGGAGCGGAGGAGAACAATAACACACCAATGGACGAAAACTGGTCCGAGTTGGTGCCTACAGCGGGCAGCACGATGTTTAATGAGCGGACCAGGTGTGTCTTCCCCCGGTTGCGGGCCCAAAAGGGGAGATTTTGCTCTGCGAGTGTGGTTGAGTTCCAAGTAATGTGTCGGACAAGTAGCTCTGTCCCAAGAGCATTGAACCGGCGCGAAACGAGAACGACGTGATATAGTTCCTTTACTTCGCCCACTAGAGCGAAGATCCGCAACCAGATCTCGTTTGGCACACTCTGGATGACGGGGGAAGGCATAAGGTCCTGCGTGACTTGTCACATCGCCGTGACGGGCCGAATGGGGCCGAATCAATAATACAAGTCATGTTGGTGAGAGAGTCAAGAAGACTGGTTGTTTTCGAACTATATTTACTTGGTATGTACATCGATATAGGTGTCCGATGACTTATGAACACTGAAGAGCGGTACTTATCTACTACACCATAATGCCCAGAGAAACGAAGAAAACAAAAGCCATCGCCTTTGCATTACTGAGAACAAACTGTTCAACAGCCCCGTTAGTGCTGGCTGAAGCTCCCCCAATAATGCTACCACTGCTGGATCCAGTAGAGTTGGTGTTCCCATCCGCATTGGCATTTGGACTTGAAACACCGGTGCCGCCGCTGCCTACGGCAGGGATAATAGAGGGGCTGGGCTCGGCGGCAGGTGCCCCACCAATTGGCGTTGTACTCGGCAGGTTGTAGTCGCTCAGGCTGTCCGCTCCAGGTGTGTCCGCAACGGGAGTATCCACAGGTGCATCTGATGGGGCAGGCGAATCAAGTGCCGGGGTCGTAGCAGGCGGAGGTGCTGCCACTGGCTCGGTTGTCGCAGGTGGAGGCGCCTGAGGAGGTTGTGTTTGCTGTTGAGTTGGTGCTGCAGGAGGCGGTTGCTGAACTGGTGCGGTATTCTGGTTCGTTTGCGCGCCTGTTCCTGCGCTATCGCTACCGCTTATCGTGGCACCGTTAATGGGTTTGTTGATCGCCTTGCAACTTTGAACTAGAGCTTGGTTGAGGAGATGTCAGCAGCTCTGTGCCGTAAATGAAAGAACAAGCTTACAATCCATGATAGATTGTCCTTCAGGTTGGAGCGTGGTCCCACCAGCGACTTGACAATTGATGCATGATTCGTATTGACCCACAACAGTTTGTGTACACAGGGCTGCAAGATTATTACCTGCAGACTAGCATTGATTTTGTATTAATTTGCGGGTATGAAAGACATAGGTAGAAACCTACAGCGATCGATTGTTGCATGGGTGCGCATTGGGCGGTACAGTCACGTCGAGAGAAGGCGAAGGTTGGGCGAGAGAAAACTAACGGAATGTTTGTCCGACAAGGTGCGACGATGTGAGCGGCTCACCATAGGGAAGGAAAGACGCAGTGAAAATAATGTTGCTCTGAACCCGCATGGTATATACGTAGTGATTCGTGGATGGTGGCAAATTGAATGTCGAACGATTCGAAAGTTTGGAATGAAGGAAGGTAACTAGCCCTTGGTGCGAAAAGCCTGAAAGACAACGAGCTGGTAAAAGAACGTCAAAATCGAAGGGGAAAGCTTGCAACCACATACGTCCTTCGTCTTATAAACCTAAAGCTATGACCAGGGTTGACGTTGTCCTGCGACTCCTGCCAGCGTCGACGCCTTTCGATGTTCAAAATGCCACGTCGAGATATGATGTCGCAGACCATTCAGCGAAGACAGTTTTAACTTCGAACAAGAGCAGAGAATGTCTCGAATCACTATTGAAAACTGGATCGTCGACGTGTCTTGCGCGCGCGTCGTATGTCCATCGTCTCTGTTGGCATTCTTGGATAGGCACTTGAGCTTGATTCTGAAGAGACCTTCAGCTGTCTGTTGTCTGTTGTCGTCGATGATGGGCGGGCAAGTTTGAAGGAAAGTTCTTGATTTGTTGACGGGTGAACGTCGAGGATGAGTCATTATCGAGCATGTGATCGCAGGACTCCCAAAATTTCCCTTTTCGTGAGGGGTCAAAAGGTACTAAAATTCCACACAGCCAAGATCCCCTGGGTGTCCCTAGCATGGAATACCAGAGGGGCAGCGCTCCCGGTCGTATTAAAGCTCTGGGTTCCTACCCATCGACCAGCACCAACTAACTCCCCAATCCACTGATTCCGCTTCACCAACAAAAATGCCCTCCTCGATGCCTAGCCCATTGCGCCTAATCTTCCGAGACCTCTTACTCTGCGTATCTCTCGCGTCGCTCACCGTTCTCGGCATCATACACGCTCTCCTCCACATCCTACACAACCGCTTCCTCTCCCAATTGCTGCAAGTGCAGGCTGATGGAGACTCAACGGCAGCAGCAGTGCTGACGGTGGCAGAGCGTCTTGCGAACGTTGCCAGCCTTCACTCGCACCTGACCCTCGTATTCAAAATCACCCTGGCGTCGAGCGTTTTGGTGCTGGCCCTACGGGAGCTGGTCGTACTCCTTGGCATCCGAATGGGTTGGTGGGAGAATTGTTCCGAAGAATCAGAGAGGCTGGCCTGGTTGGAGGATGCAGTCTGGGATGCTGATGTCGCGGAGAAGACATCTGTTGCGACTGTGTACGTGTTACACTCAAGTTTTAGCTGTTTCGTGGAACTTACTTTGACATCGCAGGTGGCCCGAACATGTCTCGGAGAAACCAATCGTCCCTGTGTCCCCGGAGCAGCTCCTCGCCGCGCTATAAGGTTTTGCGCCTGTTTATATATCCGCTCTTTCCATTGCCCGACTCGCTTTTGTAACCACGGTCGTTTCCTTGACGGCGACTGCCGTAGAAGGTGTAATAATAATCAGTATATTTTATCCTCGAGAAAACATGGCCTGACCTTAAGCCCCACGATCAATCGAGCAAAAGCGATGACCTCAGACCCGCGCGGAAGACTCATGCGGGTAGCGGCGACACATCCGCGTGTCTCAGTCAGTTGTGCAGTATAAAAGTCCATGGCGGATGCACTGATATTCTCATCAAAAGCGACGAACCTATCTGTCGCCGCACGCCTCTTCAGCTCAACTCTCTCTCCAGTCAAACTCGATTACCTATTAACGCCTATCATCATGCGATTCTTCACCGTCGTCGCTGTCGTCATGACTCTCCGCGCGGCTGCTGCCGTCGTCGTCCCAGGAGGCGGCTATTCAGACTGCACAAACTCCGAAGTCGTATGTCCCTCGAAGTCCCTCATTCTCCCAGGTCTCATACCCCATTCTAGCGGCTTCAACTTGTTGGACGCGATGACACCGACGATACTCGCGACAAATTCCGGAACTTCCTCGACAACTACGAGTCATGGTCAAAGGATGAACGCCGGGACTTCCTGTACGACATCGACCCCAAGACAGTTGATCTGGAGCAGGAGATGCTGGAGCAAATCACAAAGATCCCCAAGGTTGAGAAGATTTTGGATGGGAAGCAGCTGACGAACGAGATGGTGGTGTTATACTTGAAGGATATGCATAAGAAGGATAACAAGGACGAATGAGCGGCGCTTTGGAATATATATCGCTTCTTTGTTTGTAAATGTGCTGTCTCCGACGATGTCATGAAGTTTTCAAGCAGCTGGTAAAAGTCCGGAAAGCAAAGGAATTTGGGTTCCGTCCTCAGTAACAGGTTTGAGTCAACATCGTTCAATCCAAGTTGATAAAGAAGTGAATACAAATCGAAAAGATGGCTTTGGTCAACAGGAAAACAAGAAATCTTCTGCCGTCGTATCTTCTCCACTGCTTCCCAAAATGCTGGTGAAATTGTCGGCCACCTGGAGACTTTTCGCGCCGATGTTTTGACCAGCTCGAGGACCAGACTGTCCAGCTGTCGAACGCATTGCTGTTGGTGGCAAAGCTGATGCCGAAAGGGTTCGTGAATGGGTCGGACGAGCGACTGGCTTTGGTCGAATATTCGCAGCCACACTAACGGCTCGTTGCGTTGGTCCTGATTTTGTACTAGTCGTTGTCCTCGTGGTCAATGTAGCTGTAGAGCGAATACTCTTCGTTGCCATTGTTGTTGTTGTGGTCGAGTTTACGATAGGTCGACTGGTTGGGATGGGCCGCGCATTCCGTGCCCGGGTCACAGGTACCGGAGCATGGCTGCGAGCGCTGGATAGAGTTGAGGCTTGTCGTAAGGTCGAAGCGGGACGGGAGGGTGCTCTGGATGCAACTGTTGCCCTAGCATTCGATAACTTCGGGGCGAACGGGTCCTCCAAGCTGAGGTCCAAATCATCACTCAGATTTGTATCAGACAGTGGCAAGTCGATGACACAATGAAGGTTTTCAGAAGTGAAGGTCGGCTCTGGTAAAGACAGGTAGTCTTCGGACGCCAGTGGGAAGGAATGCATTCGTTCGAGGAGGGCCTTGCCGGCTTGGCTATAATCGGGAATTTCGAAGTCGAGCGGAGGAGTATACTGAAGGTCTAAATATGGCAGTGAGCAAGGTGGGCAAACTAGAAAGTAAAGTGATGCACCAAGTTTAGGGGGCATGTACTCAATGTCGTCGTAATCGTCCTCCTCTGCTGGCTCGGGAGCAGGTGCTGCAAGTTCTACTGGAATATCTCCCTCGTCAACATCCCAGTGCCTCCCGCTATTCATCGGCGTAACAAAACTCGTCTTGCCCACCAACGCACCCCCGCTGATACGGGGGGTACGACCATGACGGCGAGAAGAACTTGGCCGCAATACACTGTCTGGGGTGGTCCCAGCAAACGTTGGCGCTGATGGCTTGGAGTCGATGGTGTTGAGAGCAAGTCCGAGATTAAGCTTGGCTATTTTCTCCTCGCCAGGCAGAGGCGTTACGAATCGACTAGCTTGGTTGGGGAACGGTGTCTTGTCGCCCAAGGGAAGCGGTCGGCTTTGAGTTTGAGTTACGAGTCGGGGAGCAGTCTTGGCAAGGTCCTTTTGTGAGACAGCTCCTAGAGCATCAGCGAAAACTGGGGCAAGGAAACAATGATAAGCGACACACCCCCAGCAACACCTAACCTCCCTTTGCCTTGCACAGTCTTAGCGCCACCAACTCCTCGATGGACGCCAGAATTTTCGCGTCCAGGCGTCTTCGCGTTGAGATAGTCGTGATGTTGAAGGTGCTGCACGGGCCGAGACGCAAGCATCGTAATGTGGAAGAACTGGAAGGAGGTTGGAGGAGGAGGTTGATATGAGGTAACGTGATCGCGTGACGCACACCGTGACACAAAATTCACAGCGGGTTTGAGTTACAATGAGTAGAAAGGATGAGGGGTGGAGCGTGATTTGATATGAGAAGCGAGAGAGAGACAACTCTAATATATAATTTTCTAGTTTCCTCCCCTCGTACGCGCGGTTGAAGATTTGGAGTAGATCATGTGATCGCGATGGCTCACAGAATGCTTATATGATTGCGAGTTCCTTCAGAGTTCACAACGCTGGTTTCTAGGTTCAAGTGAAGAACACTGCCATTGATTAATCTCAGTCTACTTTCACTTCAAGCTACTTGCTCACTTTCACAAAGCCTCAGTTTAGCACAGGTCAATAATTAGAACGTTCCAGACCCCATCAAGCATTTGTCACAGCCCATCAATGCCCATTTGCCGTTTCGTTCTTCCCACCACCTTTTGCTTTCTCGTCGACGTGCACAACCGTGTGGAAGATGCCCGACCAAGAACGTGACATCGTTATGGGGACCCCCGATAAGCCGTTAGATAATAGGCCTAGGTGTGTTCGTCGTTGGCCACTTGCGAACGAATCGCTGACGCGCCACATCGCAGTCATCCACGGGTTTCATCGTCAGTTAAGAAGAAAGACTGGCTCGCGCAAATTATTGCGTGTGTCCCTCATTTCATATAAGAGCTGAATTTACGAAGCTTATTGCATTCATTAGTCTCGCCGAAGACCGTGCCAACAAAGCTATTATCCGACGGGACACCACTGGCCGCATAGTCGTTCTCGACCAGGATGGGTTGGACGAGCTTTTCAAATCAGAGCATGCAACCTCTTTAGAACGCGTCGAAGATGAATTACAGGTCTATTCAATACTTTCTTTATGCAGTGGCTTCCATCTTAAGCGTTTGTTTAGGCGCTCGGTGCTAAAAAGAAATCCCGCGAGTACAAAGGCATCCGTAGACTCCTCGTAACTTGGAGTTGGTCTCAAATTCTTGTAGCACGTACACACTCACCAGTTTGACTCAGCACATACTCTATTCATGGCGCAGCCTTCCAAAAGCGGGACATATCCGAATAAACATCCTCAGGCAGACACTTCTCCGAATCTTGTCATCCCACGTGCCAGTGATATCCCCGCCCCAGAACGCAAACAACACCGGCCCAAACGAAGATCTGTGGCACCCCTGACTGAATGGGACGAAGCTGAGCTCAACCGTGAAGAGTCGGAAGATGATTCCGGCTCCGGATTAGACGAGGTGCCACGAAAATTATTTTTCCGGGGACTAATACATTGCTCACAATTATCTAGGACTATGTTCCGGTAGTCCTTAGTTCGTTTTCTAATCAGGTCCGCCACTGGCCCATGATCAATCGTATACTGACAAGTCAGGATGTTCAGCCCTCCACCAGCAAACGCACACGTCGGTCAATGGTAGCGCAGCAATCCAAAGAAGAAACGCCAATTAATCAGCACCCCGCCCCACCACCACCTACAGCCTCTAAAATACAAATTACGCCTCTAATTCCAGCAAATCCTCCCGAAGTTCCCGACGGAGTACCAAGAAAATGTTCATTCTGTAACGCCGACACGACACCTGACTGGGTCTACTATAAGACCACGATATACTGTCTTAATTGTGGTCTAAGGGCATTGGCTGTGAGTATTCAGAGTATTATTTTTGACTCTCCTACTGACGGAAAGTGTTAGCATGGAGCAGAGCAACTTCCTCAATGCATGGCTGGCTTGATTCAAAATGTTTAATCCATTAAAGTTTGTGATGAAGGTATCAAAATCTTCTTGTAGTGAGTCGCATTCCTAATAGTTGACGTCGGTCATTGTCAATGAATCCTGTTGAACCTCTGGCCCAGATTTCAAGAATTCGCGCAATCCTACACCGCCATCGGTATCTCTGCCATCGCAGCTAGTCTGAATATGTGTCTAGGTTGAGCACCGTCATCGTCAACATAATCCACCACAGCCGTATCTAACCGAGAGCGGAATCAGGGCTGAGCGGAGACTTGTATTGAATTACACTCACGCAAAGTAGAGCGATTGTCGAACATAACAACTGTTTTGGGTTGCCAATGAACACGCACTTGAACGTCATGCGACTCGATTATGTGTTTTAAGAGAAAATCCGAAAGGGCGGCCCATTCGACATCCTTCAAACCGACAGCGCCCGTGATGAATTCACCATTGATGAACAAACACCTCGCGCCGGTGATTGGGTGGACGCGAACCAGTGGGTGGATGGACGTAACTGGATCTTTCCTCACGATGCCTCCCGCGAGTTTGGTGTGGTTGAGCATATTTGCAGAGGAGTGTGTTACGCGAAGAGTCGACAAGAAATTCTGCAAAGTCGGGGAAAGACGGCTGAAAGAGGCATTCAATGTCAGAACAGAGAGCACGGATACCCACCTGAATGCATCATCTGTAGCAGCGAAAACGGTATCCCCTCCGCATTTTGGTCCGTCGAGGAGAGCAAGCATCACATAGCCTGGAGGTTGTCGCTCATAGCTTACGTCCTGGTGCCAGAGACATGATGTAGTTTTCCTCGCGAAGAAAGCTTCAAGCTCAGGTCTGTTACCGTCTCGGTGGATGATGTGAAATCCTGGGTGACCTGCAATTCATTTGATGTCAGAGAGGCGCACAAGAGACTAAGATGAGACAGATATACGCACCGGGAATACTCCCCGAAACCGGCTGGTAGTTTCTCTTCCCAAAGTAGTCCATGAAACCCTGCTGTACATCAGGACCCGCATTGATGAACGCTTCCTGGTCTGGGAACACGACGATCTTACGCTCTGCGATGAGCAGAGCCAACTCGTCCTTGGCCATGGCGTTCGTCGTCAATTCCGTCAGATCTACTCCTCGCAATACAGTCCCCATCTTTGGCGTCAAGTTCTCGGACACTACGCCGAGAGATGACAACAAGTGGGGCTTGTGTGAGGCTGCACGGGTTGCGGGGTCTACGAAGACAAACTCGGGAAGTGGCTCGAACCAAACTGGGTCCCATGTAGGCTTGTACTGTGGATACTTCATCTTGCTGGTGGCGTCCACATTGTTGTCCTGATAGGGTATGTTAATATCGTATGTCACGATGGGCTCCGAGTCTGGGGTCATGGTACTAGTCATCCTCGTGTTGCTAGCAGTGGCAGTAGCGAAATCGGGAAGAGGGCGACTGAGATGAGTTCCGCCTTTGCTCCAAGAGCTTAAATATCTTGGACATTGACCTAGATTCCAAGATTTGGGCGGCTCGTGGGTTCTACGGGTCGCTTAGATGATGACTACATCTCTGCAACACTCACTTTTGGACAATTTGGACCTGTTCGTCACCTCAGCGCATTGATTGCAGAAGCGGCTCGGGAGGGGAGCACCGCCGTTCAATAGAGCAACGCCCGCGCCCGGCGATCACGATGGCGCTTGACTGCCATTTGCAAGGAGACTGTGATCGGATCGTGGAGGTTCTAGTGCAAGTTGAGTGCAAGGAATACTGATATCGATTTTTGTCGCCTATAGCCATGAGTCATAGCTGATTTTGCCCAGATACGGTTTAATCTGCCGCAGGTATAAAACGGCAAAACTTGAAGCGACTGCACGCACCAGAGCCTCTGGACAACTGTTGGGATGATGTATTTTCTGAACTCGTGGTTCTTCGCCTGTTTGGCGATGCGTTCCATGTAGACTGGCTTTATGGCGATGAGGATGTCCGCTCTGGTCGTTATGGGCTTGTTAAAGTGGTTGGGGGGAAAGGAGCAGCACGCCCAGCGCGGGACTTTACGCGAGTTGAGGAACCAGCAGACGCGTCGCGCATGTTTGTTGACAAGGATAAAATTGCACGTGATGGTAGTGGATCATGTGTCAATACACAGACCGATTTCCTACATACTCAATAATGAAACTACGACCATCTTGGTCTCTAAATCTTCCGTCGACTCAGTTCAACAGAGCAGTTCAAAGGCTGCATCGTAATTCCAGGTCCCCATGCCATCAATGACTCCCTCTGTTCCGCCACCGATAACCCCCGCAAACGTTCTGGAACGGCAAGCTGGAAGTTCCGAACAAAGCGACGCAAGTATGCATGCGCCTTCCGTGAGCGCAAACCTTTGGCCAATGCAGTTTCTCGGGCCGGCAGAGAACGCCAAGACTGTCGGAATTCAACCAACGAGGGGGTAGCGAAGCAGAAAGACATACAAGCATCTCGAGGCCAGCGATACGACTCTGTGTCAATAAAGCGCTCAGGTCTGAATTCTTCGGGTTCGGGCCAATACATCGCTATGGCGGAGGGAATGAGATTGGTCAGATTATATCATCAAAACTTACGGTTGTGGTGTAGTCCGCGAATATCAACCATGACTTGACTCCCGGCTTGCACGGGAACAGTTATATGTTGCAAATTTTCGGGTGTGCCCGACGCTGACAAATGGAAACGATAGGACGGGATGATTGCATCTTCACGAACGAGCTTGAGGAGGCGGATTACAGCGGGAAAGAGTCGCAAGGTCTCATGGATGACCGCGATTGTGTACGACTAGACAATTAAACACTAGCCATTTGGCAACAATTATCAACTTACTAGTTTAGGGACGGTTTCTTTGTATGGCGATTCTGTAACGTTGGTCGGCGCACCGTTTGGCCATAGTTTGACCGCTTCTTCGTATACTTTTTGTTGGACATCGGGGTACAACGCGAGCAACCCGACCGCGAATGTCATAGTGTGACCTGTTGTCTCTAGATAAATGTGTGAGTAAAAGGATAGTTCATATGCCGCCGAAACACACCGTGGCCAGCTAGTAAAAACGTCTGCGTAGAAATGAGCATTAGCTCTCAGATCAAACTGATTGTTACTCGCCCAGGTATTCGAGAGCAGCTCATCCTCAGCCAACGTCTTCGTTCCCATTTCCCCGTCGTCCGTTTCCGGCGCATTCATATTAGCTTCGACTAGATTGCGCAACAAGGCCGCCTCGTTGTTGTTTCCAACCTTTCCTTCGATGACCCATGCGCGCGCCAGTCCAACAAGTTCCTGCATATGTACTCGCACGGCTTCAAAAGCAATTCGGGTATCCCGCGCGACGTTCCCAACGAGAGGAACGTATACGCGGCCGGAGAGTGCGTAGAACCAATCGGGAGTCAGCACCTTGGCGTGAAGATGGTCGACAGCAGAGGATACTGCTTGACGGAATGCGAGGGTATGGCCAGGGGGAACGGGACCATCTTCTGCCCAAGAGGCTCGGCGACCGAACCCGGCAGATGAGATGACAAGGAGAGCGGCCTGGAGAAGTTCTTCCCTTGCATTGATCACAAGTGGCTGGTTTCCTTGCATGCGGTTATCGATCTGCGCAAACCACTCATTTGCAACGCGAATAGCCTCTTTCCAAACGAAGGCATTACCAGTCTAGGACATTGTCGGCGCAAAAAAAAAATGATGTGGACAAACGCGCACCTCGTTGAATGCTGGGTTGGAAATACGGCGATGGCGTCGCCAGTCAGCGCCTTCTGTTCCAACGAGATTCATTCCATAGAAATTGAGGGGTTCGTACTATATGACTCTGAGGAAGACGAATAGACCAGAATCAATGGCATACCGCTGCAGAGTCCTTTTGGAACATAACCGACTCAGAAGTAATGTACTTGATCGCCTCAGCATCCGAAAACCAGACGATGGGAATGGCATCGTTAAGGATAACTGCACCAACACACGTCGAGCGCTGGCGGGCATATGCTGACTTGCGTGAGCAAAGGAGATTCAAAATCTTTGTGCACTCACGCGTAAACTTGGACTGCCACGACCCAATATTTTGTTCCCTTGGGTAACGCATGCGTCCAGCGAGCATTGCTAGGCTGTAAAATGGATTGAAGACGAGGAGTCCGCCATACGGAGCACTGGCGAGATAAGTGGGTGATCACAGATGTGTGGAGACGAACTTCAGACTCCGAATCGCAGCTCGGACAGCCAGTATTCTGGAGATCACCACTTTCGTGGACCACGCAATGATAGTCGCAAGGAGCAGACTATGCAGAGCGCTCATTGCGGTGGGAAGCTAAAGAAGGCGGGAGTCTGGGAGCCTTCATTCAACTGAATAGGCTGATTCATTGTCGTGGCAAATTATCGCAAGATGAAGGTGTCACACTGTCACGAGATTGAAATGCAAGATGTTAACGAAGGCTACAATTTTGAATCCACCCCAACTCGGGGGCGATTAGGTATTACAAGGTGTGCTATAACTATACTGACAATAGGAAAAGTCCAGCAATATTTTTCAGGTACACAGCCTCACGCAGGCCATGGATGATACATTTCTTCTGTGTACAAATGTTTGTACACAGTTATTCTTTTTTTATTTAGTTTGCTATGGTATGTAAATGGCAAATAAATGAAAACAAATGGTTTAAATAGTTATTCACAAACTGATTTAGGTTTGTTCACAAACTGATTTAAGTTCGAGAATGAGTGTCACGACCTATTGTCACGACCTATGTAACACTGATGGCTCTCATGTCCAACCGGATGTGTCGGGCCGGCCTCTTTTCTGGCAATAAACAGAGAGTATGCTAGGTAGATAAAAGATACACAGTCTGTCTTGAAGTCAGGGTTATAGTCTGTACTATCTACATCTGATCCAGAGTCTCCAAGCCTGATTTTTTTGGAATATTAGTAAACAAGTGGGCTTGCAGCCTTAAGCTTCTTCTCCAAAACCTCTCAGGAGTCAGTTTGACTTCAGTCTACAATCAGTTTGTGCTATGCCACTTGTCGGCTTACCTTCAATCATTCCCTAATAACAATAGCAGACAAGCTCATAGCTATGTCACTGCTAGGAATATGTCTGGCTACCAAATGCATACTAGTATAGGACATACATTCCACATGAATATTGGATAATTGTTGCATTCATAGGCTTCCTCTTAAAGGAATACATTACATGATCTGGCATCAAATAATCCTCCATCGTGTGAATGTACTTACCCATTGACAGAGCCAGACCACTCCCCGCTCCAGCATGCCTTGTTGCAGTACATGCTTCAATCATGCTGGAGCTGCTGGGGCAGCGTCCATAGCATAACCACGTAGCTTAGTCAGCACATCATCTGTATACTCGCTACTTCCATATCGACTGCGTTTCCCGCCTTGACCGCCCTGCCATCCCCATGTGGTGACGAGAGTGCGTTTTGCATAACCCCGCATCCAACCTGAAGGATCGACTGTCGAGTGCTCGACGGGACACCGTGCTAGCAGCACGAGACAAATTTTCACCACAACTCAACCTGCGAGACCATACTATGGCAATCTACTACGGCTATGCTACCCCTTATGACGATGGATACAACCACACCTACAACTATGACGACTACCAGGAGGACATTGACTACAGTTCTTCAGCGAACTCGGGGGCTAGATGACAACTTTGAGGACTACTATGACACTGAGGCGGCCCAGGAGGGTTTATTTCCGGGCGAAGTGGACATCTGGGAGCAGTATGTGGAGGAGACAGACAAGGTAGAAGTTTCAGAGGCGTGGGGCAGTGATGACGAAGAACTCAGTCAGAGAGGACATTGGGAGGAGTACGACGAGGCCCAAGATATCTCAGAGGCGGACTACGGTGGCCGAGAAGACGGGTGCGAGTATGACCAGGGGAGCTTTGCAGTGGGGCGCTCTTTTGAGGAGCTGTATTCCAACGACACACATCCTGCCTTCGACTTCACCGGGTCTGACGACACCCAGTACGAAGAACTGTCGCTTGAGAAGCTCCAAGGCATTTACGACCGCCATGAAGTTGCGGAGGAGGACTGGGAGGCCTGCTTTACATGTGTGAGATCGAAGAATACCAGTTCATTCAAGATGGCTATGTGTGGGACAACAATACTGGCGAATACATTCACCCTGCAACAGCCCAGGCAACAGACTCGGAGGGTCCCGCCATTGATGACCAGATTGCGCAACTTCGCCTCGTGGATACACCAAGGAAACCAGCCCCTAGTATCCTCTCGAGCAGTTATACTCCGGGTCGGGATATGTATGCACCTTCAGTTCAGCGGCCCAACCAACCACATAGACCTCCACCAGCGCCACAACACCGTTGGAACCCATTGCCTCAACCAGTGCTGAAGGGCCAGAAAAATGTGGCACGGCCCAGAGAGCATCCCCCGCACCTGTTGGTCACTCCCAAAGGTGTTGGTGGGATGAGAGATGCTGCACCCAAAGCCACAGTTGCTATCGTTGCGGACAATAGCAACTGCAGCTTGGCCACACCCTCTCTCCCCTCCACCAACACAACCACCCCTAAGCTCGGAGCAGCTATCACCACTTTATCAGTGCAAGCGCCGAGTGCCCAGATGGGCAGCGACAACGACCGCAGCAATACTGGCAAGGTCCCCCAGCGTGATATCGGACTGAGACGGACCCGTGGCCCACCAGACAAACTGCCAAGTACTTCTTCAGCAAGAGAAGCTCGATCCTGCGCAACTCCCGCAGCTCATATTGACAAGATGAGCGCGCTAGCGGATCGCTGGCAAGAAATGACTATTTTTTTTTCTCCTGCTCATCTTCATTTGCTCTCATACATTACAGTCTTTTAGTTCTTTCTTTTTCTAGATAGGCTTTTTCCGGACGAGGACGTCCGTTTACTCAGAGGGGGGAACCTGAAGCTGCTGGGGCAGCGTCCATAGCATGACCGCGTAGCTTAGTCAGCACATCATCTGTATACTCGCTACTTCCATATCAACTGCGTTTCCCGCCTAGACCGCCCCTGCCATCCTCAATGCTTCCCTGTAGTCATGGACCCCGAAGACTGGGTTGGACTTGGCTCAAAGAGGACTGGGACAGGTGGGATGTCGAGGTCGGTGGCAGCGGCAATGAGCATACTAGTATCGTAGAAAAATGGCTTGTCAGAGGAAGCAGAGGGTGTGGGGGAGGACAAGGAGACAGTGTGTTTGAGGGACAGTGAAGAAGGACTACTTCATCCAAGCGAGGACTAGAAATGCCGAGGTTGTGTTGAGGGCGGCGCTGTGGTTACAGTAGAGAGGTGGTCTAGTGGAGCACCCATGGCGACAGGCCCTATCCTCCAGTGTTGGAGCTAGCCAACGAAGGTGCATGCTACACCGTTGGCTTTAGCCATCGGTTGGCTACCTCCATCGCTGATCTACTCAATTTATTCCCCTTTAGGCCTCATCCATCAATGGATTTCCTACGTTGTCTCCTCACATCAATTTTCCCGTCATTTACCTCTGGAACCTATTAATGCTTCCGTCAAGGGGGGCCAGCATATGCCTTTTTAGGATTTCTGTTTTTTACTGATCCGCTGTGTAACCATATGGCTAATTTATAAACCTCACCGACATTTTCGTGGCGCCTTCTTCGCCTCTTCCCGCTGCTTCGCCTCTTCCCACTGCCTCGTCATACAACCATGTCCGTCGGTGTGTCCCTTCATCATACGTGTATGCAAACGTGCTCACGTTTTGCTCCAGTACAAGCTATCCACCCTTGTCTTCTGCTCCCTGAGATACTTGGGCAGATTTTTTTTCCTTTACCTCGCCACTGTGGAGGACTGGGCCATCGACACGATTCACAGAGCGGCCATCTCTCACGTCTGTTGCCAGTGGACTCATACCTTTTGTCCAATGCCCTTTCTCTGGTCGAACATAAGTACGGCTCTCGAGCTCCATGCGTCGCCACTATATCCACCGCGCGTTTTGCAATACCAAAGGCTCTACCGTCACCCTCACCCTCGATTTTGGCAGCCAGCCTCCCATACATACTTGCCCCAACCCCCAACTTCTACACCCATCTGGAAACCTGTCCTTCACAAAAGATGTTGTCCAGGCGCTTGTGATGGAATCTATTTATATTGGAGCCTCAATGTACTTAAATATTTCCTTTTTGGGAAAAAGTGCTTATTTATTGTTTATATCACTTTGATCACATCATTGATCATATCAATTTTCCGAAATGCATTGAACATGCTGTGATCAAAGTGTTATTGACTCTGCAATCCAGAACAATAAGTCTTTTTGTGATTCATTCTAACATCTGACTTAGAATAATTCACCATAATTGTTTCTGACTGTGCATCAACTGTGCATGACTGTGCATACTGTGCATTAACTGTGCATGACTGTGCATTGACTATGCATTTGTCAGGGGTTCGGGTCGGGCCAACGGGCCCTATACGGCCCATCGGGCCCTCACCACCCTTAGAGCCCTAGGGCTTGACAAGCCCTCATAATTCACAAGCTCAAAGCAATGAGCAACAACACTAATATCCCAGAGAAGGGACATAATCACGGATCGCGCTTTAGTCAGCCATCAAGCCATCATGACCCGCCATCAGGGATCATGATGCGCCGCCGGACGCCCTTGACAGCGGGCCCAATCGGCCCTAGACAACCACAGGGTCCAGGAGGGAGCTCCTTACTGTTGCATTGCCAAACACTCCTTAGTGTCGACTTTGGCATGGCTCCTTTCCAGAGGAATGGTCCCTGGGCTCCTAGCGGAGCGACCAGGGACGACCAGAGACATCCCCTGCTCCCTTCTGATCGACCCTCAGCGGGCCCGATCGGCCCCTAGCGCCCACAGTATATAAAGACTAGAGTATTACTCCTGTACCTTAGGTTTAGCATTGAAGTCTCTTCCTTTGAACCCTACTCCGGCCTGGGTCCCTAGAGCGGGGTTGCTGCGACCATACCCCAGGAAAGGGGCGTCTAGACGACTTCCAACACTCCAGGCTAGCTTGCCTCATTGACCTGAGCCCTTGGTTGGGCTGGACAGCTCAGGCTCTTGTCTCTTATGTTCACCCTTGTCCTAGCCACTTCTTCCTGCTCTCTGGCCTCAAGCTCTGGGTTCCCCTGGTACGGGGCGATGGGAGGGTGCGGGCCCGATCGGGCCCGCATGTCACGCGTCACACCGCGCCGTCACGCGGTGTCTAGGAGCCACAGCGACTCGTTGCTCCAGGAAAGGAGATATGTCGCCCCTTGGACTGGCAACCCTTCTCAAGCGCTCCAGGGGTCTCGGGCCCGCAGCCCCTGTTGCGGGGCG